CGTGGCCCATCCGGTGGCGTGGCATAGGTGTAGCAGGAGGGGCACTGCGCCCCCTTCGGTAGACTCTTCTCCCAGTCCCTTCTCTACACCTTTCCCTTGCCCCGCCTCCCTCCGCTCCTGTCCGAGGCCGCCCTGGGAGTGGTGAGGGCATCCGCCACAAAGGCCGCCTGGGCCTCCGTCGACCTGCCCCCCCTGCCCTCCCTCTTTCTCCGCCGCCGCGCCCGAGTCTCTGCTGATGCTGCTCAACCTCCTGTTCCTCTGCCCCGTGGAGCCGAACGCCACGTCGTGGGGCCGCTCGGGGGGGAGGGGATTCCGGAGGGAGCGGAGACGGAGGAGATGGACCGGGCGGAGGGTAACGGGGGGGCAAGAGACGAGCCTCCACCGCGGGCCCGAGAGGTGCACGAAAGGCGCATGCTGCTTCACCACCCCGCCGGCCGCCCCCGCGTCCATGAGCGCCCGAGGAGGTGCAGGCCGCGGCCAGGGGGGCGAAGTCGGGGAGCCCAGACCGCCCGCGGAGGCGCGAAGGTAGGCCGCGCGTCGCGCGTCGTGGCCTGCTCCTCCTCCTCCTCCTCCTCCTCCTCCTCCTCCTCCTCCTCCTCCACCTCCTCCTCCTCCTCCTCCTCCTCCTCCTCCTCCTCCTCCTCCTCCTCCCCCGTAGCCATTTTGGCTCAAGCCATTTTGGCTCAAGTTGCCATTTTCTCAAGGCAGCTGGCCAGGTCAGCAATTGCCCAGACCGGCCTCCCAGGAGGCCACTCAGTGTCTTTCGCGCTCACACAGATTGCAGCCATGGCGTCCCGCTCGAAGCAGTTGAAGGACAGAACCATTCGTAAGCCTAGGAAGGCTCACAAAAAGTCCAAGAAGGACGAGAAATCGAAGAAGTCAAAGAGGGAGAAGGCTAGGAGGCCGTCAGATCCCAGAATGCCCGTGTCCCAATCGGAGCGCAAGCGCAAGGACTCTAGCTCAGAGTCCGAAGCCCATCCAGAGGTAACCAGCGAAGGCGATTGTTCGTTATCCAGAATGGAAGAACTCAAGCAGAATTTACAGGAGGCTCGCATCAAATCGTTGGCAGAGCAGCTCGACAATGCTAGGGACGAATTCAAGAGGCTCAAGCAGACCAGGGGCTCGGAAGATCCAGCCCAGAACAGCAAGTCGGCAGAGACAGCAAAATGAGGGAAGAGTCCCTCAAGTCAATGCCTAACATTGCAAGTAGTGAGCACGTTTTGGGAAATGACCTCAGGCTACGGAGCACAGCAGCTTGGCTAGAAGGCCATTTGGCGTGAGCTATCAATGGTCACGGCATGTTCTTCTCAATGCGGTCGTACATGCGCTTTTGATGTGGATTTCTCCATGTCTAATATCACTTCTAAGCCACCTTGCTGGCAGCACTGAAACAATTCGCTAGCATGCAATCGAATCAGGCACACTTAGCCAAGCATGGCTTCCCTCAGCTCACCCTCATCATCGTGACGGCCGCAGGCGCTAAAACGCGCAGCGTATAGCCATTATTGTCAAGTGTTGCCCAGGCCCCTCGCTTTGTGCAAGCACTAGGATGTGCAGTTGCAAGTCATTTCAGGGACCATTCATACTTCTGTGAGGGTGAGCTTTACAGCGTCGTGTGCATATGTTCCTAGCAAATAAGGCACAAGTAATCTTGTAGGCCAGCAGGCAGGCAAGCGAAGTCTTGCAGCCTGAATCCTTCCAGTCCTCCCTCCTCCTCTTCAGCCCAGTTTATCCCCTTCTCTCCCACCAGACAGCGCATGGAATTGGCAGCCAGGGCTAGGTTGCAAAACTCTGCCCTCTCCTGGCGGGTCGTGCCATGGCAATGCCATGGCTGAAAGCCCGAACCTGCACGTTGGCGTCCAGGGTATGTTCTTGTCTGTGAGGGGAAAAGTTGGGTGGGCATTCTTATTATTTTCATCCCTTTTGGAGGGAAGGTCAGGTCTCGCTTTGCTAGGTGGTCAGCCCATTAGAATATGGGAAGTGAGTTACCCCAGAGCGTAGCAATTTATCTCCTTCCCCCTCCCTTTCTCCAACCTTCCTCCTCCTCATCCTCCTCCTCCCTCTGGGGCAGGGCTCGGTAGCCGAATCGGAACCGGCAGCGCCCCAGGCAATGGTCTGGGGGCCAGCTGCTGTCCGAGGAACGCGCCTGACTTTAGTTCACCCCGAAGCGAATGCCAAAAAAAAATGTCCTCCTCCTCCTCCTCCTCCTCACTCCTCCTCCTCCTCCTCCGCCTCCATCCCCTCCCCCTCCACAGCCTCCCCCCCTCCTCCTCCTCCTCCTCCTCCTCCTCCTCCTCCTCCTCTTCTCCCCTCCTCCCCTCTCCTCCTCCTCCTCCTCCTCCTCCTCCTCCTCCTCCTCCCCTCCTCCTCAGCCTCCTCCTTCTCCTCCTCCTCACTCCTCCTCCTCCTCCTCCTCCTCCTCCTCTCCTCCTCCTCTCCTCCTCCTCCTCCTCCTCCTCCTCCTCCTCCTCCTCCTCCTTCTCATCCTCCTTTCCCTCCT